GCACTCGGGATATTTTCCCTCGTTGCCATTCGTGCGTTGTTTTGGTTTTTGTTTTGGAGAACGATCTCTGTCACGATCACGTCTTTGATTTTGGTGGTATCCGCTCTTGCCGCCAGATGGCGTTGTGTAGCCACCGCCGCGACCACCACCACGGTCGCGACGTGACTTCCCTGCCCATGCAGCAGATGCAGATGTTTTGAGAGCAGTTTTGTTGGGATTATTTTGATTTTGCGAAGGAGTTTCTTCATTTTTTATTTTATTTCCTTCTCGTAGAAGCTCTTCCGATATGACACTGAATTCCAGAGTGGAAGTACCGTCAGGCAGCTTAGTCTGAGAAGTTCTTTCCAATATCTGGCAGAATGGTTTGTGGACAGGCTTGACATTGGCAAGTAGCAGAATTGTACACATTTCATCTTCAATAGCCTTCCCAGTGTCGGCGATTTGCCCAACTACTTCCCGGAATTCCAGTACATATTGAGCAAGGCCTGCTTCTTGTTTTAGGGAGACTAGCTTGCGTAGAAGGGAGGCACGCCGAAAAACTCCCTTGTCTTCGAACGCGGTGCACAGCGCGGACCAAGCTTGATGAGCAGTGGTTGTGTTACGCAGATACTTGAGCAGGGATTTATCTATCCCAAAGGAAATCTTTTGACGAGCAAGCAAGTCTTCTTTAAACTCTTTACATTCTCTATCAGCGAGCACTTCTGGAGGAGGGTCTTTCAGGGTACACTTGTAAAGATCAGCCAAATAGAGCTCCATCAAAAGCTTCCAATCAGCCCAGTTTTCCTCACCCGACAACTTGTCAAACGGGGTATTGAACTGCTGCGCATGGTGACTTGGACCAGCGGGGACTTCTAAGCCAGTGGCAGTAGTAGATCGCTCACCATTTGAAGGGGTTTTAGCTGGAGTTTCCCCAGGCGGAATAGTCTTCTCATTTTCACCCATGCTGCGGCCGGCGGGTCCTTGCGGATGCGACGAAGCGTGTTGATGTTACGACGAAGAGATCTTGTCCGGGGATAAAGATATTATAGAAATATTAAACTAGGTTGGACTTTAGAGAGCTGCGGCCCATAACCTGTTATATTTAGTCAGAGATTGATAAGTTACTATCAGATATGGTGGAGAAATAAACGGGTAGACACAAGTTGACAGTACAACATCCGGAACGGAAGTGGAGGTTTATTGAACTAAAGATAACAGGTGACGATACATTATTCGCAGACACACACAACAGCTGTGCTGACTAGAGTAGTACAGCAGTAGACGGAGTGGTTATTCTCAGGATTGTTTATATTTGTCTAACACTC